GTGTCACAGTTTTCAGCACCCAACAGCCAGGGCAGCTTCTCTCTGTCCAGCTCGCCCCGCCCGCCCCTCTCCTTTAGTGAGAGAAGTTCTCTGACTCTTGGGATTTTGCAGTCAGAAGAGTGATCATTACAATTTTCATTCTGAATATTGTGGCCCTGCTGGACTGCGGTGCAACAGGCTCTTTCATGAAGATTGGCAGAGATGCTGACGGCTAGGGCATCGGGACCGAGGGGAGCGAGCAGGACTCATGGGATACAGCTCATAGAGAGAGGGAGCCATAGAAATGTGAGGCTGCTCTTCACATGGCCGCACTCTCTCCTGTGTCCTCCGTGGAACCTGTGGAGGCGGCGTTAGGCGCTGGCGCTCTCCGGGGTGTGAGCTCAGTCAGCAAGAGAACATCTGCCTTCCCACCCCCATCTCTGCAGCTGGTTCCTCTTGCAGTTTTGATTTTTAGAATGAACGCAGTAACCTGCCCCATTCTGCTGATGCTGCAAAAAGGAGCTGGAAAAGAACGTGCACAGCTTCTCCAGTCTTAGCATTTGTTACCTTGTAGTTTGGGAAACTTTGCTGCCCCAGTACAAGAGTGTGCTGAGGATTCTATGATCCTGCTAGATTCTCCCAGGAGGTCAAGTTGAAAACGAGCTAGGTGCGCTCTCTCTCTTTCTCTTTCTCTTGTCTGTCTCGTCTGCCTGTTTCTCTGTTCCCCTTTTCCTCTCTTCTCTCTCCCTCCCTTCCTCCCTGGCTATTGCTGCAAAGAATATTCTTGTTGAATTTGTTTCTCCATATCTTCTGCCTTTCCTTAGAATACATTCCTAAGAGTCTACTCATTGTGAAAAGCAAACGGCCTTTAGATGTTTTCCAAATCTAACAGATGGGGGTCCTTTCAGACAGAGTTTCATTTTACACTTTTCATCAAGAAGCCCGTGGCTCCCTGCTCGCCATGCTGCAGTCGCCCTCAGGAGGTTCATGGAGAGCAGAGGCCTTGGGGCTAATCAAGGGCTGTCTTTTTTTTCCAATGTCCGGAAGGTATACTTTGGGGGGGGGGGGCAGTTGAAGTACGAAATGACATCACACTTCATGTATGGGGATGGGTCGATCAAGTACAGTGTGCACCAGACCCCCCAGACTGGGCGCGGGTGGGACAAAGGACCCAGTTATTACAGGGTGGGTTGGGCAGGCGGCTGCCCAGCTCTGGGGACAGATGCATCGGCTCTCAAAGCCCAGGTATCACCTGTCTGAGACTGCACAGCCCTCCTCACCCCTTCAGTTTCCTGAAGGGAAAGGCCCCAGGAGACTCTGAGGTGAAGGAATCTCTCCCATTTCAACTCACCCACCGTTAGGGTTCTGCCCCCTCTACCCTCCAGCCCCCCAACTGTGAAGTTCCCGGGGTCCCTGGCCAGTGACTTGCTGAAGCCTCCCTCTCCAGGACCTCTGTAGAGAGGCACCCTACTCGAATGCTTGCTTCTCCAGGAATATTGCTCTGGTAACAGCTGAGAAGAAAAAACCCATCTCTAACAGTTTGATTGCAGGTGGGTGGCCCCGGGGCAAGTGATTTTGGGAAGGTGGGGCTGGCTGGCGCCCTGTGTCCTGACTTTTCTTCTGAGCCTTTGCAAAACCACTTTTGAGAAAATTAATCGGGGTGGGCACTCCTGGGTGGCATTTTCTTCTAAGTGAAAATCTGTAGAATTCCTGTCGTGCGGAGCTGTGGTTTTCTGTCAAGACCCTGTGGGGTCCTGGCAGTGTGGGGCCTGTTTCTTATCCAGACCTCTTCCTATCCAGAAGAGTCAGGTGCCTGGCAAGTGAACTGGCCAACTCAAATTTGTATGTCACTCGTATCGACCTAAAATGAAATACAAATAAAACGTCTCATTTCTGGCATGAAAGAGACCTAGGAAGGGCAGGCTTAGGGCTGGCTGCTTCACAATCCAACTGGAAGTAGGGTAGCCGGATCCTGCATCCATCTCTCCTGCTGGGGTGAGGGCCACAGGATCTCAGCACCCAGGTGAGGCAACGATGTTGAAAGAGGCTTCAGAAGAACTGGGCCAGAACAGTGGAATCAAACGGAAAAGACTGTAAATTCAGCCAGCTTGGGGAATGACCAGAAAGCGTCTGTTGCCCCAGCAAGGATTGAAAAACAAAGATTCCCAGCAACAGGGCCACAGCAAAGCTCTCTCAGCACACCTGTCCCGGACCGTCAGCTGATGAGAGCTTGTGATTGTACCATCCAAGAGAGGTAGCTATTTGGTCTTCGGCTGGTTCTGGGCACAGAGGGTCTAAGACCCTTGGAATCTTTAGAGTGTCAGGAGTGCCTTTGTTTACTCAGGACAGTCCTGGGAGCTGGGGACCCTTAGGCAGCCTCAGGGTGGGTCTGGGGTTCAGAAAGACCAAGGCGGGATAGAGGGCTGGAGCTGTCAGTCTCCAACCCAATCTCTCACCTGGAGGGAGAGGGCTGGAGCTGAGTCAATCCCCAATAGCCAAAGATGTCATCAACCATGTCTATAGTGACCCCTCTAGAAAACCCTAAATGGTGGGGTTGGAGAGCTTGCAGGTTGGGGAAAACCTGATGTTCTGGGAGGGCAGCATTCCCCACTCCCCAGGGACAGAAGCACTTGCACTTGGAACCCGCCCCCGCCCCCCAGGCCTGGAGCAATGCACCTCTTCATCTGGCTGTTCACAGGTCCTTCATCGTGAACTGGTGACAGTAGGTAAAGGTGTTGCCCTGGGTGCCATGAGCCAGTCTGGCAAGTTATTGACCTTAAGTAGGAGGACATGGCAAGCCTGATTTTTAGGTGATCGGTCAGAAGCAAGGGAGACTTGAAACTTGCCGTTGGTGAAGCGGGGGCCGTCTCATGGGTCTGAGACCTTGACCTGTGCGGTCTGCCCTAATTTCAGACCTGAATTCAGTTGTAGAATACACAGTTGGTGTCCAGAGAGGGTGAGAGAAACCGTACACTTGGTGCTAGAAGAGGTGGAATAGGTCATAGGACCTTCCGTGTCACAGAGGGTGGCCTCATTTGTATTTGTTTCACCTGCTGTAGTTTATTAATGTGTGAGTACTTTATTCTTTGAAAGGCTTAGAATTAATAGAATAAAAGAAATCAGCTTCCTAGAATCCACACGTCTTGGTTTTTAGAAACCATTTGTTTCTAGTTTGCATTTTAAGTAATTGTAATATTTAATATCACAAATGTACTATTACATTGTAATTATAACTATTTAAATATTACATATTACAATTACAATATAATATTTTAGAGAATCTAGGTGTTTGAGCTTCCTGGATCTATGGTTTGGTGTCTGGCATTAATCTGAGGAAATTCAGCTATTACTGTTACAAATATTTCTTCTGTTCCTCTTTCTTCCCCCTTGTATTACCGTTATGCATATTTTCTGCCTCTGTGGAAGTCCCATAGTGCTTGGATACTCTGTTCTTTTTTGCTTTTCAGTTCTGGAGGTTGGAGTTGGGTATTTCCTTTCCCCCAGGTCAGAAGGCTCTGATAAAATCCCACCAGGTGAGTCTCTCTGGAAGGTAGACCTAGTGAAGAGTGCACCCACCTGTTGAAAAATGATTCTTCTTCTCTTTCCCCTGTAGTAAGTATGAGGGGATTTTTCTCTGATATTTACACTTCGAGAATCTGGTTGAGCTTCTGATGATACAATTCACAAAAGCATGAGACCCATAGGCACAGGCCTCCTGGAGGTTTTAACTCTCAGACGTGGCCACAGCTCACTGCAGCAATTTGTCATTCCAGTTCAGGCTTTCCAATCCCAGCGTTGGTTCCTTGGAGCATTGTGCTCCAGTGTATGGTGATTCATCTGCTTTACCTGTCCAGCCAATCTGGGGACAGTGGCTTGCCGGTGACCTCACGTCTCTTGCAGGTTTAAGAACTGCTGATTTTTCAGTTTGCTCAGATTTTTACCTGTGAGGAGGAGTGACAATTCTCAAGATTATCGTGTACGGAACCTGAAATTCCCCAACTCCATTATAGTGAAAAGTGTTTGCCCTTCCTCGGGCTCAAGAATTAAAACGTTTTCATTCTCTGACACGTTGTACTTTGATTCCCTAAATATTTATAATTATAGATTTAAAAACTCAGTTTTCTGCTGTATCAGCCATGTAGACTGGCACTTTCCAACAGAATTGAGAGTCCTGTTATAGAACTTGAAACCTTCCTTGTAGCCTCATATAAATATATAAACTAGTATATTTTTAACTCAAAATGCTCATACTATACTTTCGATAAGAAATACAAATAGGCCGGATGCGGTGGCTCAAGTCTGTAATCCCAGCACTTTGGGAGGCCGAGGCGGGTGGACCACGAGATCAGGAGATCGAGACCATCCTGGCTAACACGGTGAAACCCCATCTCTACTAAAAATACAAAAAGTTAGCCAGACGTTGGCGGTGCATGTATCCCAGCTACTTGGGAAGCTGAGGCAGGAGAATGACATGAACGCGGGAGGCGGAGCTTGCAGTGAGCCAAGATCACGCCACTGCCCTCCAGCCTGGGCGAAAGAGCAAGACTCCGTCTCAAAAAAAAAAAAAAAAAAAAATCTATCTATATATAATATACATATATACACAAATACAGTATTTTCTATTTTTATAGTAACTGCATGTCTTTCCACTTCATGTGCTCAGCCGCCGCATGTGGTGAGTGACAGAGACCACCCTGCATGTGTGTGCGCTATTTTACTGCCTTTTTCTTGACCACAGATTCTACCTCCTGTTTGTGTATGCAGTGATGATTTGCTGAATATTACACATTGTGGGTAACTTGTTGAGCACACTCAGGATCCCTAACCTTCCTCTGAAGCTTTGCAGCTCCTGTTCTAGCAGCTAGCACAGGCACTGCTGGGTCATCGTGACATGGGCAGGCTTGGTTGGATTCGCTGTTGGTGTGAATCTGTGGAGAGCTCCAATCCTGCACCCACTCCAATCTCCCCTCCTGGACCTGGTAGGATGGCCATGCTCCGCCCACACCTGAGCTCTCGGTGCCACGATCTGCAGGTGTACTCCAGAGGACAAGTGTACTGTGGGTGCGTCTCATTCATTCTCCTGCCCTTGCCCTCAGGTTCTGGCTGGCACAGCTGTGGTCACAGACTAAAAACAGCCACCTCATTCGTTTTATGCAGCTTTACAGTTGTTTATGGCAGATGTGTGACTTCGGTCCCTGTTCCCTCATCATGGCTAGAACAAGTTTTGGCAAATTATTCCTATATCTTTACATTTGAAAACTAAAGGAAAGTTTCACCCATAGAATATTAGTGTTGCCACAATCCTAATGAGTGTTTCTCCAGAAACTACGAGCCAGGTCAGCAGCCAGTCATTTCATAGAAGATAAACTTCAAGAACATTCTCTGAAGGGCAATGAAACTGAGTAAGATCTAACCACTGTTACCAGCAACCAAGAAAACTAGGTAAGAAAATGCAGCTAAGATTTGGACCTAGTAACTACGGTAATAAACATGCAAACTATCGCTAAGCACAAAATAGGCTGAGAGTAAAAAAATTTTATGATATTGACATTTATGATTTTACAAAACTGCCCCATGTGATATCAAGAGGACTCCTGATGAAAATTTACAAAGGATGCTTTATGGTTTATATTAAAATGTTAGTCAAATAAATCCAAACATTTCACAAAAATAACAATTCAAATATTCTTTTATATTTTGCAGACAATTAAGTTATTCATCATGCATGACCCAGTAACATTTCTCAGCGGTTGGATTCAATACGAGAAATAAGCAAATAACCGCAATGCTTCTTCCATTTCAAAGTCATTTCTCTTATAAAAAGTGGTCAAGAAAAATGCCTGTTGCCTTACATACTGGTTAGTGCCAAAAATTTGGTTTAAAATATTTCAAGTGGGTTATCCTTTTACGTCCATGTTGTTAGTTACACAAAGAACACATACAAATGCAATTTTTTTTCCATAAGTTTTTGCAAATTATAAACTAAAGAAACAGGATTAAGCATTTTATTTTTTGAGATAGGGTCTAGCTCTGTTGCCCAGGCTGGAGTGCAGTGGCACGATCATGGCTCCCTGCAGCCTCAACCTCCCCCAGCCCAGGTGATTCTCCCATCCCAGCCTCCCAATCAGCTGGGACCACAGGCACACACCACCATGCCTGGCTGATTTCTGTACGTTTTGTAGGGATGGGCTTTGGAATGTTGCCCAGGCTAGTCTCAAATGCTGGGACACAAGCAATCTGCCTGCCTTGGCTTCCCAAACTGCTGAGGTTAGAGGCATGAGCCACCATGCCTGGCCTAATCATTTCTAAAGAGTCTGTATTTATTATCGTTATTTTTTTCTAATCGAGATGGGGGTCTTGCTCTGTTGCCCTGGCTGGAGTGCAGTGGTGCCATCTCAGCTGACAGCAACCTTTGCCTCCCGGGCTCAAGTGATTCTCCCACCTCAGCCTCCCAAGTAGCTGGGACTACAGGTGCACACCACCAGGCTCAGCTGATTTTTTGTACTTTTGGTGAAGACAAGATGTACAAAAGGCATTTCTGTACAGTTTGCCATGTTGTCCAGGTTGGCCTTGAACCCTTGGGCTCAAGCCATACACCTGCCCTGGACTCCCAAATTACTGGAGCTATAGGCATGAGCTATCGTGCCCAGCCCTTAATTATGTGCTGTGGCTTCATATTAAAATAAGGAAATGGAGGAGCCCAAGGGAGCACGTTGGCAGAAAGGGCTCCCTTGTCAACAACTTGCTAGCACGGCATTCACTCCCTTGCCTGGCTGGCACTGCGTTCTTTAGATGAAGAACACGTCATGTGTCAATGAAAAACAAAAACAACATAGGAACACCCTGTCTCTACAAACACTTAAAAATTAGTTGGGTGTGGTGGCGAGCACCTGTGGTCCCAGCTGCCTGAGGTTGAAGTGGAAGGACCGCATGAGCCCAGGTGGCCGCAGCTGCAGTGAGCCAAGAGCTGCCATCATGATGCTGAATTCCAACCTTGGTGACAGAGCAAGACCTTGTCTCAAAACAAAAAGCAACGAAAACCCAAAGTGATGCACTCTAAGTTCTGTCCTTTAAATTCCAGTACCTTCATTTGTAAAGGTATGTAAAGGTGAAACTCAGGAGCTGCTTGCAGTCATGTGGACATACACTTGACCTAAGCTCTGATCTGAAGCACGTCCTTCTGTCTCACTGCTTGCCGAGACTAAGCTAAACTTCAGAAGTAAAAATACTCCCCCAAATATTGTATATGTAGCTTCAACGTGGGATGTAAGGTGATTCAGGTCCTTTGAAAGACAAGCTTGCAACAACGGCATGAATAATGTTGGAATCAAAATCACAGAAACTAAACACCAAATAGCATAGGTTCAATCCGTGTCTCTAACAAGTATCTGGATAACTAAACTTTCTGCTTTACTTGGGTGTGAAGATCATGAAATGTAGTTTATAATTATTTGGGCAGAGAAAAGAGAGAATTGGGGCAGTTACGTAAAATTCAAGATTAAAGAAAAGCAGTATTATATAGCAGAAATATAAATTGGCTATTACCTTCAGTAATTTAGATCAGGGGTTGGCAGGTCCGTGCACCAAATCTGGTCCGTTGTTCTTGTAAATAAAGCTTTCTGGGTACACAGCCATACGCATTTGCTATCACCCATGGCTGAGGGCACAGTTGAGTGGTTGTGAGAGACTTTATGGCCTGCAGGAACTAAAATACTAGCTGGCACCTTGCAGGCAAAGCTTATGACCTGATTCGGGTAGCTGCCGAAACTGTCCAATTCACTTGTTCTAAAACAATCCAACAATATAGCACACTTATCTGAAGATATGAGAACACGCATGCACCAGCCTAATCAGAAGAAAAGTCCAATTCCACCCAGAGGGTTACGAACTCTTCCCTTTTCCCTACAAGGAATTAAATGAATAAAACTGTGTGAGATTTTACTGGTATGTATCGTATGTATGAATCTTGATGAAAACTTAAAAATGTGTATTTATACAGATACATAATGTTACTTTTCATACACTGTTTTCGGACTTCTGGTTCACAAAATCTGCATTTCTGCACCATGACTTTGAAGGCAGAAACCCGACTACTGGGCTAGTGGTCAATTCTGAGGCACCCAGCATGTTCAGGAGGCAGCGTCGGGGAGCATGTCCCTTACCTGGAGGGGTGTAGGCGTCCATGGAGGTCTGCACGACCAGGGACCTGCGTTTGGAAGGCATAGGCACCGCCCTCTTCTGCTCTTTGTGTCTGGAGCCGCCTGGACAGCTTCCGTGTGGACGTCTGAAACGGAGAGAGCTCAGTCAGTGCTCAGCTGAGGTCCCAGAGGCCAAGCTGCACCCTCCTCTCTGTCCCCGCAGCACGGTTCATCCACCTTCTGAAACTCACCAACAGATGGGTGGGTGAGGAAAGAAAATCAGTGGTTACAGTTCCAGTAAAGACATTAAAATTTATTCACAGACTTTTTCATTTTAATACTTTAGAATCCATATCTGCAAGCAAACACTGGGTGTAAACTGCACTGAGATTTTTCTTTTTAGGGTGAATGAACCTTGATCTTTGGAGATTCTTTGTAGGTCACACGTTTGAGCCTCCAAATCCTTTCACTGTACCGCTGAGAGGCATGTGCACGCCTCGCACCCCAACTCACACAGCCACGGTCGCCACTCAGCTCAACACCGGCCATGGGCCAGGACTGTGTTGGCTATGGATATGGCTTGGCTGTGTCCCCACCCAAATCTCAACTTGAATTCTACATCCCAGAATCCCCATGTGTTGTGGGAGGGACTTAGGGAGAGGTAACTGAATCATTGGGTCCCGTCTTTCCTGTGCTATTCTCGTGATAGTGAATAAGTCTCATGAGATCTGATGGTTTATCAGGGGTTTCCGCTTTTGCTTCTACCTCGTTTTCTCTTGCCGCTGACATGTAAGAAGTGCCTTTCGCCTCCCACCATGATTCTGAGGCCTCCCCAGCCATGCGGAACTGCAAGGCCAACTAAATCTTTTTCTTCCCAGTTTCGGGTATGTCTTTATCAGCAGCATGGAAATGGACTAAAACAACCATTAAGACATTTTGTGGCTATTAACCCATTACATTAATTCCACACATTCACTGAATGCCTTCTCTGTAAGTCCCTATGGGCTGGGGTCGCAGTGGTGATAAGGCAGACAGTCTCATGGCATCTCACGCAGGCCACTTGTTAAGGGATGAGACAAGTGATAGATGGGGTAGAGAATTAAAGCAGAGACAGATGCAGCAGCAACTCCAAACTGTGAAGCCAGGGAAGAACCCTCTTAACACAGAATCAGAACAACAGGAATGAAACATACCGGCTGTCAAGACGAGAATCTTCGAGACACAGGCAAAAATCCGCTCAAAGGCCCTAAACTGTCAGTGAGAACGGTGTTAGCAGAATAAAACCACCACCACCAAAAATGGCCAGCGTGAGTGAAGACGGGTTGGGGCAGTTTTCTCTGAAGCTGCGAGAATGATCCCACTGAAAGGGAATCGGACGTGGCTTTCTGGCTTAAACCCCCCAAGCTGCCACCTGAGACAGGACCCAGACCCTCAGCATCACGCCCACAAGCAGCTCATCACACTGCTTGGTCTTGGTCAGCCTTTGTGCACACTTCTTTCCCTAACTAGATAAAGAGCCTGGTCATCTGGCCACTATTTCTAATTCCCAGGTCAAAAACCACTGTGTGACTGACTTGGCTCATGGCCGAAAACTGAAGGGATCAATGAGGTGACAATCCACTCACTTGCACAAATCGCTTTTTGTTTTGCATATTCTCCATTTTAAACTTTTTGAATGTAATTTCAAAGACACAGAAAATCTGCAAGACCAGCGTAGTGAATTCCCACATAACTTACCAGGCTCAACTTAGGCCCAACTGCTCCTATCTTACATCACTGCTTTCCCCCCTCCCCCATGAATTTTCTAAGTCAAATGAAAATATCAGATACTATGTCCCTTCCATACCTAAATGTTTCAATGTATTTCCTAAACACAAGGATATGCTCTCACATTCATTTTCCTCAAGATCGGGAAATTTAAATGTCATATACGAAGTTCACTTTCAAATGCTGTCAACTGTCTCCATAATTTTCTTACTTTGTCTTCCTCTTTTACGATCCAATCCAGGATCATGAATTGTCATGTGATTTTTACCAGTCCAGCATCCAAGTTTCTCAGCTTTTGTGTTTCTTGAAATTGGAAATGTGAAAGAATACAGGTCAGTTATTTTACAGTTTGTCCTTTATTTTGCTATCTTCCGGACTAGACTCAAGAGTATGCATTTTACCCGGGACACCACAGAAGTCTGTCCTGTGTGACAATGTTAACATCGGCAACTCAGTGAAGGTGGTGCTTAAGTGCCTCCAAAGCAAAGATGCTACTTCTCGCGTTGAAATTAAGATTTGGGAGGAGACACCCTGACACTATGTGCATATTCTGTTGTCCATGAATTCTTCACTACTAGTTTTAGCAACCACTGATTTCCTGTCATTCCTTCTAAATCATTAGATCTTCCATATTCACTGAAAAATAATTATTTTATCTTTCAGCATTCATTTACATATGTCCATATGTACTCACGGAGTCTGGCTTGGTGGGTTATGATTCATAGTTACAATGGTTTGTTCTGTTGCTCAACTGGTCCCAGATTTGACACCAGATTCCGCAACCCTTAGGCCAGGGCTCCTTCTAGTGAAGAACGGTGTTTGGAAGCTAAGAGTGGGCACCGGGTGCTGCTGGGCATTGCCGGCAAGTAGAACACACACACGCATGTACACGCATGTGCACCCACACCATCCACAGGCACTTCTATCCCTGTCTACATCTGTCAGGAGCCACCAGCTTATACTTGTACCTCCTGCTGCAACCTAATCCCACGTGATCCATTCCAGGCTTTGGCCTTTTCTTATTTCTACCTCTTACCAAGAAAGAAACCTGGCACCTGTAGCACTCAATATATTCACTGATTTATTAAGCTTATTTGCTTCAGCCTGGAGATAAAGAAATGCTTTCAGAATTGCTATCTAATACCACTGTGAAAAATCGATCGACTTCAGTGCTCATTTGTAATTATTGTTTTCATTGTTTTTTTGGAAGGTAGGGAGTACAAAGTATACACAGTGAAATGTTCAGATCTTGAGTACACTTGGCACATTTCGATAAATGGAAATCTATTACCCTAATCAAATCTTTTGCATCCAAGTTCCCACAAGTCCCCTCCCAGTCAATCCCAGCCCTCAAGAGAAAGCCACTGTTCATTCTCGAGGAGTGTTCTTGGCGCTCTTCCGTCACCCGAGACTCGCATAGATTCTCCATTGTCACATGGACTCCACGGCGTGGTGTTCACTCTCTGCTCAGTTCAAGGCACCTGGAACTCATCCCCGTTGTCTGTTTTGGTTTCAGTATTTTGTACGTTTTTCCTGCTGGGAACTAGGACAATGTATGAACATATCAGAATTTGCTCATGTTTCTCCAGATGAGAGAGAATTATGTTGTTTCCAGTTCTTGGCTATGACAATTTACTCTGGAGATAATGTGCATTCTTTTACAAGGACACACATTTTCAGCTCTCCTTGGTGAACGTCTATAGCATACCTGCTGGGCCATATGGTAAGTGTACACGTTTTAAAGAAACTGGCATAGTTTGCTGAAGTGGCTGTGCCATTTTAAGTCTCCTTCAGTCTGAGATCCAGTCTGTCATATCTTCACCAACACCTGCTATTGTCCTCCCTTCTCCACTCTTATGAAGGGGAACCTCGTGGGTTTAAGTTGTACTTACTCAATGACTCCCTGGTGAGCACCTCTCATGGGCCACCGGGCATCTGTATACATCTGTTGCGAAGAGTCCATCTTGCATGCTTGCAAAATTCACATCATTTCTGGTTGTTTGTACATTTCCTAAAATGTTCTAAATAAGGCCCTGTGTCTTCTGTACATCAAGCATCTCCCTGCTTCCAAGTCTTTATGCCTCTTAGTTCTCCTGACTCACTTCACAGACGAGGGCCCCAGTGCGCACCATGCGAACCTGAGGCACGGAGAATGGCCATGCTCCCGACACCCCTGACTGTGGGCAGAGCTCCTCGGCTGCCACCACCGAGGAGGGGGGTCAGCTCTTGTTTCTCAAGAGTGGCCTTTATCAAACGGAGAAAGTTCCCTTCTGTTCCTGATGTGATAGGAAATTCGTATAAGGACTATTAAATTTCAACAGATGTTTTCCAGTGTCTACCGAGAGGATAAAATAAATGGGTTTTCTGCTTTATTTTTTGTTAATGTGGTGAATTACATTGATTTTTGAATGATGAGCCAAATGTGCAATGCAAAACTACACATCATGAGAACAAACTCTAAGTGTTCATGGTATTCTTATCCCTTTTACATATTTCTGGGTTTGATTTAGTAAGAATTTGTTCAAAGCTTTGGCATCTGTATGTCAACAAGAGTGAAAGGCGTGAGATTTTGCCTCGCATGCAAACTAACAAAGGGAGCCAACAGCAGCCCAATGCACTGACGGAGCCGGCACATTTCCGGGCCAGAAACAAAGGGCTTGTCACACACAGTGGGGGCAGCAGGACCCACTCACCCCTGTCGATATTCAGGATCACACAGTGGGGCAGCGGGACCCACTCGCCCCCGTCAATACTCAGCAACGTCCTGTATCCCTGTACAAAGACAAGATGTTATTTAGGCAAAACAAAATTAACGATCATGTAAAGAACTGCTTACATTTTTCCTTTCTGAGAAAATTTGTTTTTAGCAACCACGGCTCTCAAGGCACTCACTTGCACATTATACATAATACTGCTCGTGGCCAAAGTCATGGTACCTTCCTATTCTTAAATAATTTACCAAGAGTTCTGAAAGGTGAGTATTTTAAAGAGAAAAGCGGTATGTGGCTTACCCCAGGCTAAGGAGTGAGTTAGTTGGACAATTCTTGTGAAATATGTGCTTTTTCTAATTAGAAAATCTGAGAACAAGGTATCAGTGTGAGTCTGTTATCACCATGAAGGAGTGAAATGGATGCTGGGAAATTGAAGGAGCTTCAGAACGGGAATCTCACAATCTCAAATGGGGAGACCGGCAATTGGGAAAGCAGTCGCTCTGATTCATGGAGTTTTCGGAGATTCACGTCCACTCCGTGCTGCATTTGAGCGACTTTTCTTCTTGTGATGTGGACCCGATAGAAGAGAGGTCCCACGTAGACATTCGGCATTTGTGAGGATCTGGCACCGTGACTCACTTCTACAGATTTAACATGTTTATGTATAAATTACAATGGCTCAACTATATGAAAACTGATAGCAGTAATGGATCAATTCCCTCATTTCTCACTTGGGCCACACTTCCTGTTTCTGCAAGAACATATCGCTTGGCTAGAAGACACGATGTTGACATTGAAAGGAAAAAGGACCTTGTATAAGAATAATGCAAAGAATTCTTCTCAAAGGCCACTGGGACAGACACTTTGTTGCTGATCAGCTGTCCACCGGCGCAGCAGCGAGAGAGATAGAGCTCCACGCGTGAGCAGTCACAGCTCCCGTGACCCACACAAAGACCCCCAGGGTGACGACAGGCCAACCAGCAGCCTTGGAATGGACACTTCCTTCCCGAAATAGCTTCCTGAGAGACAACAAACAGTGATAATTGCAGGCATTTCTATGACTGGGAAGCAAGAAACCCTCCCAGTCCTGTTCCTTCTACACCACATCCAGAACAGGCGTACACCCGGTGTAGAAAGCTCCCAAGGCCTGAACAGATCATTTGAATCTACTTCAGACTGACCTAATCTCTGCAGTGCAGTCCTACAAACAGACTTTCAAAAAGTTGCCGAACCACTACCTCAGACCTCATGCTTTCTCTGCTTGGAAAGAGGACATGTGGCTCGGTTTATACGGCCACCAGAACACACACAGGGTATTATGTTATTGTCCTTCAGTGCCAAGAAGAATCCTGTGGTCTCTCACGGTAAAAACAAAACCACAACCACCACAACCCAGCTTTTCAAGTTGCAGGGAGTTTTACAGCCTCTTTCTATGTCGTCTTCCTTTTTGCCCTAAACTGGATATTCTTTTTACTTTCTCCTTATTTCCTGAATATAATTTGATCAATATAATCAAAGTGCTTGTGTTAGAAGCAACTTTACTTAAAAAGAATGGAAAGAACTACATGAAAATATTAAGAGTAGCCATTTCAGGATGACAAGGGAACAATATATTGTTTTTGCTCATTCTTTTCAACATTTGCAAAGTTTTTTGCCTTGAGTGCAGTCACTTTTGCAATCAGAGGTTACAGTGCTTGATGAAATGAGGCCATGAAGCACACACACCACCGAGTTTCTAACACAGAGCAATCTATGAGGAAGGATAGAGACACAGGAAAGGTTCATTTTAAAGCAATGCAGGTGTTTTTTCCATAAAGGCAAAAGACATTCTTAAAAATGTTTGCACCATACACAAGTCTGCTAAATTTAGTCAAAAAACAGAGAAAACAGTAACAGAAGAACACTTTAGCCCACAAGGAGACCAGCACACCCAGCACGAGGCCACTCCAGATGAGTAGAGAGTGGTTTCCTCACAGCTGACCCACAGGATTGGGTAACACGAGCAGGAGGGAAACATGGGGACCACAGAGATGTCAGACTGTGGACTGCACAGCAAGAGACAGCAACACAAACTAGCGGAGTAATTAACAATTATTGTAAAAAGAGGTCCACATTCTATTTTAACCTGAAATCAGTGGCACGGTGACCACCACACCACCCTGCAGTTGCCTCCTCCCTCCCCCACACACAGCAGCCTCCTGAGACAACATCCTACTTCCAACTTGCAGTTGCCTCCCGTCCCACCCCCCCACAGTGGCCCCCTACAACATCATCCTACTTCCACCCTGCAGCTGCCTCCCATCCCCAACACACAGCATCCTCCTGGGACAACCTCCTACTTGCTGCCCACAGCCTGGAGCCCCCAAAGCATGGAGGGGCTTAGCGAGCCACACAGCATTCCCGCTTCACACCTGGGAAGTCAGCCCCTCACTGAAGTGGGTCCTGCGCCCGCCAGCTGTGCACGATCAGAGGTGTGAGGTTATGGACCTGGTCACCCACTGTGCAGAGAGGCGTCAGGTCATGGACCTGGTCACCCGTTGTGCACGATCAGAGGTGTGCAAGGTTCCAGACCTGGTCACCCGCTATGCACCATCAGAAGTGTGAGGTGATGGACCCGGTCACCCGCTGTGTACGAATAGAGGTGTGTGTGGTTAGTGACCTGGTCACCAGCTCTGCACAATCAGAGCCACGCGAGGTTGCAGACCTAGTCACCAGCTGCACCCAATCAGCAGCTTTTGAGGTTAGGGACCTGTTCACCTGCTGTGCACAGAAGTGTGAGGTTATGGACCTGGTCACCCCGCTGTGCATGATCAGAGGTGTGCGAGGGTTAGGGACCTGGTTACCTGCTGTGTCCAATCAGAGCCAGGCAAGGTTACAGACCTAGTCACCAGCTGCGCCCAATCAGAAGCTTTTGAGGTTACGGACCTGGTCACCCACTGTGCGGGATCAGAGGTGTGCCAGGTTAGGGACCATGTGCGTAGTGATGGACCTGATCAGCAGCCAAGACACCTGACGTTTCCAGTGTCATCCCGGCTTCTTTCAAAACTTGAAAAGTCTTCAGATATTTCCCAAAAGCTCGTCCATCTTTGAAAACGATATGCGTGTGCACAGGTGATACCGATGACTGAAGATTGAAGGTTAGAGCATTCCAGCCCCATGCCCATGTCCCATCCCATCGGTGAAAACTTGAGCACAAACATCTCCCTCTCTGAAGCTCCCTGAACCCGGTGGCAGGCCTGGGACTCAAGGTCCGGTGTCCTGTCAGTTACACTGAACAAAATGTAATTCAACACTGGCCATGGGCCCTATGCTTTAAAAACCACATAGAAACCTCCCAAAGAACTACAATCTATGAAAGTTTTCATGGCTAGTATTTTAGGACGACTGACCAATCTTGACCTAAATCAAAGCCGACACTGCCCAAATTAACTCTGACCCCAGCTTCGTGCAAAGGCAGCCATCCCCTGGCCGTCGGTGTGACCAGCAGCCTGGGCACAGACAGGACCAGCGCCGGTCCCTCCCTGCACCTTAAACGGGCTTCTGAGCTGCTGTTCATGATCAGTGATGGTGATGCCCAGAGCAGCTTTCCAGGAAAGCAGTAAACCTTTCAGGTCCTCACCTCACAAGGATGGCCATGTATAAATCAACCACCTTTGTTACTCTCCTGCCATTCTCAAAGAGGGGATGGGTTAAACTTCTTCCTCCTCCACATGCCCAACACAGACTATACACAGTCAGAGGCTGTGCACAAGCAGACGCCACGCACAATCTCTGCAACCTCAACAGAAACTGTTTCTGATCATTCACCTGAGGCCACCAAGTTTAAATGAGGCCCAGGTTTTAAAAGACACAAGGAGTTCTCTGAAGGCAGACTCCGTGCGTTCCACTATCAGCACCATTTGTGCCTGTCACAGTCAGGAAGAACCACAACCAAGTGTCGGTGCCCTTGCAGTGCAGGGCGCTGCGTTTCTCCCCCTTTCCAAACCCGCGGCGGCTCCTGGCGACCCAGCGTCTCTGCTCAGCCAGGCGCCCCCAAGACCTTCCTCCCTCACCTCACAGGGGAGCTTCTGCAGCCGGGCCATCTGGCTCATCACTCTGATTCAGTCACTTACACCCTCATTCCAGGCTGAAAATCTCTCCTGAAAATATCCAAATCTTACCCACGTCAGGCTCCATCTTTTCCCCAGAGCTCCTCACCCCCTCCAGAGCAGCAGCTCTGGTGCCCGTGCAGCCGGGGCCTGGGGGCGGATCCGTGGGCTCAGAGCACCCAGCCCCTCAGCCCCTCTATGTGTCCCCTTACTCCCTGCTCCCTGGCGTTAATGCCCTCCCATCCTCTATTTCCTGATAGGCAAAAGAGGGTTAATTCTAAGAGTGCTAACCGAATTGGATCACTTAACACCGCGACTGGCCCAGAATACCCCTTGATCAATGACAGGTATTGCTGCACTGTTACCATTGCGCTGGGTCCAGGTTTCCTGTGAGCCCTTTAGGCTCTTTGCCGTAAAGGCCACTCAATGGTCCTATCCAAGCCTGTCTGTGGCAGATGGACAGGTGAGTGGCCGATGCACACGTGTGATGCTGAATGGGATCGTGCAAAGCTGGCCCCGCGTATTTTGGTCAACCTAATAAAAAAGGCTCCCATGCTTGCTTGTTGCCGCCCTGCGGTGTCCAGAAGGAGCCGCTTAAAGGCAACTGCACCACACCTACCTTCTTGGAAGGAGAAGGCAAGACCAGATTGGCTGGAGCTGGGAAGTTGTGCGCTACAGATCAGGGCTGCGTGACCCAGGGAAGGCATCACTCGAAATACCTGCTGGAAGGCGGCCAATCCGACCCGACCGTCCACCTCCAGGGTCAGCCACGGGGCTCCTCTTGATGTGTCATCCTGATCACCCCTCACAGAGCAAATGAGCCTTTGACTTCAGCCTGTCCTAGGTGCAACACCGACTCCCACCTCCCACGTCCTGAACCAGCCTGTCCCGGGGATTGCTGTGGACATAGAGGAGCAGGCCAGAGGCATCTAGTGGCATTTCCTGGCAAGGACACTCACCATGCTTGACTATAAAACTCGGGTCAACTGGTTTTTCGGAGGGGCTGTAATTTACTTGTGGCACGCATGGATACTGATTGACCCAGGGAGGGGCACGGAGGAGGCTGAAGGAAAACCCATCGTGACTGCGCCAGGCATTCCCGCACACACCGACATCTTCAGACTTGGGCGGCGTCCTAGTCTTACAATCAAATGGAAGCCCAGAGAAACGAGGGAGCTTGTCCAAGACCAGCAAGAAGTATGTGAGCAGCTGGCATTCAACTAAGTCCTTCCCTGGATCCATCCGCGCTTCTCCCCGCCCCCACTCCCACCACCCTGCCATGGTGCCCGATAGACACAGCAGGTCTGAACATCTGGCACCCCAAAAGCAGAGTAGGGAACAGAGCCGGTTTCTCCAGTGAGAACTCACATGCAGCCCACTCCCCTTCTTGCCGAATGCCTTCGGACTCTGTGCGGTAAGGTCTGCAGATGTGGCCTCACTCTGCGCCAGGAGATCCGGGTGGCAGGCAGCGTTTTGGAGAGTGCACCTCCAGACAGGAGAGAGGCATCTGACAGGGCTCGCCAGCTAATCCATGAGATACAGGACACCTGAGAGAAGGGCCGACAAACCCCACAAAGTCGCTCCTAGCCTGGAGACGACAGGGCCATGGCGGGCTCCTCCCAGCCCACGCTTCCCACAGGTCTTGCTGCAGCCTGTGGTGCTTGTCAGGCGCGAGGAAGTTTCCCAGGGCAGGAGCTCTCGTTGCACAGCAAAAGCGGCACAGGCGGTGCAGCAGGGCGTACTTCAGCCCAGGGCTCAGGAACCACGGGGTGCAGCGCGGCCTGCAGCAAACCAGACACATCAGAAGCCAAGCTCCCACCTTTTACATTCAGTGACATTAAACGGAGGGAGTTATCTGTAGCAATGGTCCTCCTGGGGGACCCGTACAGCACGCATGACCACCGACACTGACCACGAGTCCTTCCTAGGTCCTGGGGGCTACCCCACTTTACACGCACGGTTCCATGCACAAATCTATGCAGGGCAGTTGTTAGCCCCAGCTTAGAGATGAGGAAAACGCTGCTGGAAAAGTTAAGTGAGAAAATCAGACTTCAGCACACCTCAAGTCTCCAATACCACTACTACTCTATGTGCTAGGGTCTCAAGGGTTGGGTGTGTGGCATTTTAAGTGACTAATCATAGGTGGTTTTCTTCTCTCCTACACTTGTTTAGCCTGAACGTGCACGTACATGCTCTGCTGCAGGTGCACTGCCGTATGTGGACCAGCAACGCTCCTTCCTGCCTCGGGTTCTCGTCACTGCCTTCCGGAAAGCTCTCGCCTGCTTTACAGCCAAGCCAGGTAGGCCTGGTCAGCCGCACAGTCAAATTCCTGCAGTGTCAGAGCTAAGTGCTGGCTGAGTCTTTAACAGCGAAGACAGCGGAGTAATGGGGATAAACTGAGCAAAACTGTATTGTAACGCAGATGAACGTCTAGAAGCAAAAGAAGCTGACACCCCTAAGAGAGCAGGCGATTGCCTCTCACTATGATGTTAATAGCAGCTTGCTGTTTCCAGTGCCTCCGTGTGCCAGGGTTTCCAGTCAGCGTTTGTGTCTATCTGCTCCTGGGCTACCTGATCAAAGCTCTGCAGAGATCAGGGATATCTAAATTGACCCACTATCTGCAGGCTGGCTGCTCAGAGGCCGTGGTGTGGAACGGCCAGGACATCGCTTAGTCATACGGGGCACAAGCACGTCACTTGCCACTCCTGTCTTTCTATTTCATCAAACCCTCTCTTCTCCTGAATATTGACCATAGCAAAGTCATTAGCCTTCGAGATGCATTTGAAACATCAACTTGCTTTGTTCAAGAGATTTAAGCCACACTTAAGTCTTTCTTGCCATACTCAACACACATGGCCGGCCGTTTCTGAAGTCAGTGTTTCTGGAACAAAAGCCTTGGCCTGCCCCAGTGAACATTCACAACGAGCACACTGTCGCGAGGCTGCTTGGCCAGACAGCAGGGGGCAGGAGAGAGCCGCAGGGGCCGCGTGGGGTCCCTGCAAACCCGCCTCACTCCCTCAATCGAGGGCGGTGCCTCCTGCCAATCCAGCGGCTTCCTCCAAGGGGAAGAGGCCTCTTCAGCTGCCACCGCATTGATTTCAGACGGCTCAGCCAATGGGGCAACAGATTCAACAGAGTCCCA